ATTCAAAAAACAAAAACATTACACAGCAATGTACATGTGCTTAATGCTCATAAGCTGCACAGCTAAAGTGGTTAAGATGGTAAGTTTTATTTTATATATATTTTGCCACAACTAAAACTTATAAAGTAATTTAAAAAATTAAAACAGCAGAATAGAATTACAACACTAACAGTTACCATTCTTTATGCTAAACATACTAGTATGTACAAGGCCGGGGTTTATATAAATTAAAAAATTGAAATAATGTTAAATAAAAATAAAATAAGGAATTAACTGGTAGCTTTCCAGAAAACTGTATTATGTCCTTTAAATGGCATAAATGGGCCTTGGAGATCAGATCACCATGCCATTCACCTCCTTGTTTTCCAGGGGAGGACACAGAAGCCCATGGGGTCCAGAGCCTTGTCCCTCCGGTGCCACAGCAGGCTGGCGCCTGGGACAGGCCCCGAGGCCTCCTCCCTCTCCTTGCTCAGTTCTACCTCCTCTGCTATGCAGTCTCTCAGATGAGAGCGGCTTCCTCCCGTGCACGGTTAGCACATGATCTGGTTTATAAAATCCGCTGTGGCAGACTGCTGGCTGCCTACCCAACAGCCTCTCTCCTCCTCACCACCCACCCCCGCTCCCCGCCCCGAAGGCCACTGCCAACAGGTGTCACCTCCCGCCACCGGGGCTGCGCACCTGGTCGCTGGCCGCGGAGAGGAGGCTGGTTCATGGGTCCCCTTTCCTGGACGGGAGAAGCTGCCCTTGCTCACCCCTTGCTGGGCCCTGCTGCTCCAGCTCCAGGAGCTACACGCTGGACCTGAGGGTGGCAGCTCCCTCTAAGGACGTGGGTGGAGAGCTGCTAAGTCCTGGGCCTCCGACGGCCACAGGACACCACACCAGCCAGGTCGCCTACCCAGGTGTGTTCAGGTGACAGCACAATAACCTGCTCTGTGCAAGCCCTGCAACTGGGTTTGTCTCCAGTATGCGGCAAGCAACTCTCACTGGCAGAGCTGTGCTGAAACTTATCTGTAAGTAAAGAATGCCTGTACGCCGACCATATTTTTAAGCCACTTGGTTTAACCCCCAAAAACAAAGCAGCAACATCTGCACTGGGTCTCAAGGACAAGGGAGATGCTCACCTGCAGGGACGTTCTGCTCATCAGCCCTCTCCCGGTACCTAGGAACGCAAAGACAGGACAGGGTGACTCTACTGAAGTTTCCAGGCCTCAGAGACACTCTGAATAGAAGATGTGAATGAACTTCAAAGCCGGTGTCTTGTACCCTGAGTCCCAGAGGACCAAGAAGCTGCTCTGGAAAATGTAAATGTGCTGACCTCCCCTTGGGTTTGTAATCCTCGAAGGGCAAAGTGAGCTTCAGAATCAAGACCTAAAGACCAGGCACCTTCTACAGATCTGCTTCCGGGTCTCTCAGGAACCTTCAGCTGACCTCCTCCGCTGGGGTCATCCTTTAGACTTGTTTGATAATTTAAGCGGAAAAGTATCTCCAACCATATACAGGGGTAGGCAAACGTAGGTTTACAGTTGAAATACAAGTAAGTAATACAATAATTAATGCATTACAATACAAGAATAAGCTGTGTGTTTTGAGTACTCACAACTGTAAACCGACTTCCGTCCACCCCTGTGTATGAACAGAACTTGGCATTCGGGATAAACCTGGGAGATGCTTTACTGATATTTCTACAACAAAGTGTTCAAGGTCAGAAAACAGAGCCCAGCAAGCTACACTTACTAAGGCGAGGCGGGAAGTGGCCACGGGGACTGTACAAAAGTAAAGCTTATTACAGACTAAGTTCCAGGAACATCTGCGCTTCTGCTGATGGACAATAACACTAAGACTCGGCTCACTGGCCATGTGACTTGTCTACACTGCTGGAAAGGACCATCAGATCGGCGGCTCGCCTCTGAGAGGGCGCCAGATTTTATAATCGCAATTTTTATGGATTATCCTTATTCCTGCCTTCGCCTTATTTTTCTATTCTCATCCCCCTTTTGTAAGTTTTAATTTTATTTCACCATTTCGGCATTTCTTCCCACAAGCCACTTCATTTGCTTTTAGAACAAGGTAAAGCATCTTAATCCACCTTCTCAAATATTACAGCTACAGCCTGGCCAGCATGGCTCAGTGGTTGGGTGTCGACCTATGAACCAGGAGGTCAGGGTTTGACTCCCAGTCAGGGCACATGCCTGGGTTGTGGGCTCAACCCCCAGAGAGGGGCATGAAGGTGGCAGTGGT